TCCTGCTTCTGCTGTTGATCAGGAACTTCTGCCTCCTACCAGCGTGTCTTTTCCCACCCCCTTTTTCCTACTTCCTCACACACATCCCCCGGTCCCACCGCCGCAGTTGGGAAGTGCAGCAGCCTTGCTGGGGGGTTTCAGATTTCGTAGTGCCTGGATCACTTAAAATATGTCTTTAAGGCACTGTCGGAAACGGATTTTTACTGTCCCGAAGAGCGGCAGAGTTGGTATGAAAATGTGTGGATGTTCATTTCCGATGCTTATGAAAGCAAACCTGCCTTAAAACCGGGTTTTCTCCTACTGAGCAAGTCGGGGGAACGGGTTGGTGGAGACCACAGAAACTTCAGCTTGATCCAGATCCGTATGGACAGTGAGCAAAATGCTGCTCTGAACGTCCAAGGGATGTGCTTGATGAGTGTCAGGAATGGAAACAGGTCAACTGAAAAGTCCTTATTGTTCCAGGTCAGTGTCACACGGTGACTTGGTCACTGCAGCAGGGTGACAGGTGTGAAGTTTGCTGAAGGAGGGTACTGGGGCTTCCCGGGTGAAGACTCGGTTGGTTTGTTCCTGGGGCTGCTCACCAGAATCTGAAAAACACCGACACAGTTGTCCTTGGAGCTGAGTTGTATTCCTTTTATAGATAGTGTGAAAAGAAAGTAGCTCATGTTTCCTTAACAAAAAAAAAGGTAACAAATTTTTGTGAGCTACAGGTTTTCCATTTTCCTTCTTAAACGTAATAACACCCACACCCTGTAGTTACCACAGGTGTCACATCGGAGCAGACAAAATAACTAAAAGGTTTCCCTGCGTGCGGTAGTAGCTACAGTCATTTGTAAAGAGTGTGGTTAGCCAGTACCCAGAGGTGTACCTGTGTGTATAATTTATCTAGGGGGGTGTGTGTGCACACGGGTGTCTTGGAGCCCTTGTCTCTGCCCCTCAGCAACTTTTCTGCTACAGCAGAATGAGTCCAAGAGAGCTGGACTCTGAAATGGAGCTCCCTGGAAGACACCTGCGCTTCCTGGGGCTCTGCTAACGAAGGAGCAAAGTTTTTCTGCATATATTAAGAATGTAACTACTTAACTCTTTGTTAGCACTGGAGCTGCGTCTAGAGAGAGCGACAGGTCCAGTGCAGAAGCAGTTTTATTTTACTTTGATTTGTTCTTCCTGTAGAAGCACGGAAGATGGCCGAGCTGAGCCCGGGCACGGGTTGCTTTGGCTCTGGATCCCCTTGGGGAGGTACCCCTGTAAAAAAAATGACTTTATCTCAAAGAGCACAAAGTGATTTCTGACCATGAGTTCGCCTTCAGTCTGGTATTTCCCATTTCGGAATGTGTTTTATATATTCAGGTTCTGTAGTTTATTTTGGAAGGGTGTTTTTTTAGTAACGAACTTAAAGTAACTGTTAAATTTGGAAACTTCCGACTTCCTCGGGTGTAAAATTAGCACCTTGGTAAGCAAGAGAACTCCTCTCCGGTGCTGCCCCAAACACGAGCTGCCCAGGAGTCGGACCTCCTGCCAGGGAATCTTCATCTGTTTACGCTTGGGCAGTTCTTAGCAAAGCCGAAACTGGGAAAGGTGCTTCGTGTCATCCGGCGACAGCCTTAGCACGGGAGCGCTTGGGTCCAGCCAGGGATCCGAGTGCTGGAGCACCCGTCACCCTCCGGTCCTGTCCCCTGGGTTTTGGGGGGAAGAACGTGCGTTCAGGGTCCGTGTGCTGGAGCGTGTGAAGCTGTAGGAGAGCTGCGCTCATCCGGGATTGGTTTACATGGAATGGAAGATGTTTTCCACGGCCTTATTTTAGATACGGGTGCATCAGTGAGTAGTGGTGAGAGACCAGGTTTTTAAGGTACTCTAGTGGATATATTTTGGAATAAAGATGTCCGCTTTCAATTACTTGACTTGGTGCAAAGATAAAGCACTAAAGCACTTTTCCTCCAGGGGAGGGGACAGGGTGCTCTTCTGCTGGGGTTCTGCGCCCTGGAATACTTGGTTTGTAAAATCCGTCTGTGGAGGACGGGGCCAGGGGGTGAGGCAGCGAGCTACGTACAGCAGTAAGGAAAAGAGCTATTTAAGAAGCGGGTGTAACAAACTCTTAATTAGATGGGAGCTAAAATAATGCTGCTCCAGATTCAAGTCAGCTCCGTGGAATGTGGCAGGGAAGCCGAAGCCCTCGCAAGTGCCAATTAGCCGGCGTGAGCTGCTGGGTGAGCTCGGTGTCTTCCTTGCTTGGATCAGCACGTTGCAGCGAAACACCCAGTTCTTCCACCCCGCGCTTCTTTTGTTTTGCCGTGCCGGTAGCAGCCCTTGGAAATGAACAGATGGATGGCGTGGCCGCTTGCGAGGTGGAACTGACAAAATCCAGGACTGGTGGTTTCTGGGTTACCTGTAGCACGGCACCGGCAGGACGTGCGGTTTTTGTGTAACCCAGCCCGTGTCAAACGTCATGTGCCAGGCTTGCGGCCCGAGTTGGAATTAGTTAGAGTGCGATTCCTGGGAGATTTCTTGGCTCAGGCTTCTGGTGTGGACATGGTGTGGGGCTCGGCATGTAACTCTAGATCAATTTTCAAGCGTCGATTTCCATGCAGAGGCCCTCTGCTAAAATTGGGAGTGGCACGGGGACAAGAATCTGTGTTGCCAGAACCCCGCTGCAGGGAACTGTGGGGAAGAAAGTGCAGAGGGCCCGCGGGCAGGGTCTGCGGGAGGCGTCAGGTCAGCTCTGCGGGACACACCGCTTCCTCCGGCCTTGGTTGAGCCGTACGGAGCGTTTGCGTCGATTTCCATGCAGAGGCCCTCTGCTAAAATTGGGAGTGGCACGGGGACAAGAATCTGTGTTGCCAGAACCCCGCTGCAGGGAACTGTGGGGAAGAAAGTGCAGAGGGCCCGCGGGCAGGGTCTGCGGGAGGCGTCAGGTCAGCTCTGCGGGACACACCGCTTCCTCCGGCCTTGGTTGAGCCGTACGGAGCGTTTGACACCACGAATTGTCCACCTGGGAGCAGGGCAGTGGCTGTGGGGAGCAGGGTGGCTGGCTTTGGGAGGAGAGGGGTGCTGTGAGCGATGCCGGACAGCTGGGGACACCGCGGGTCGTGCTGAGGGAGAGGGTTGCTGCAAACAGCAGAGCTGAGGCGGCTGGAAACGCTCTCGGGAGCCTGGTGGCTGTTGGAGAACATTTAAGAGACTTGTTTGTGGGAAGAGTCTTTAGAGAGCTCCTTTGCTTGGCAAAAAAGCAGCAGTCACCGGTCAGAAACGCAGGTTGTGACTGTTCCGGGTCGTGTTCCTGCCTGGAGCTGGGTCCTGCCTTTTCCTCGGCTCCCTGCTGCGTTTTGAGAACTTACCATAAGCTCCTTTTTACCGTGTTAAGAAATGATCACAAGCTCATGTTTTATACGGTTTGACTGGTCGTGGACTTGTTTTCATACTGACATGAGTGGCCTGACCCTTTGACCAAAATCTGCCTTTTTCGTGGTAAGAACTGGGCCTGAGACCCCTCGGTGGGGTCCCAAGCGGGGCGCCCTGGCTCCGTGGGTATTAAAGGGGCTCTGGGTAAAGCTGCTCTAGTTGTGACCTAAACGAGTAGAAAGTTTCTGTGAAAGAATCTGAATGAAAACTTATTTTGCAGGATAACTGGGATGATGAGGAGGAAGAGGAGGAAGTAAAGGAGACGGAGATAAAACAAGGTAAGGCGCGCGAGGAGTACGTGGCACCAGAGCAGACCCTGCAGACAGACACTGGACAAAACCAGTGTCTGAAGAATCGAAACCGCTCAGTGGGGCCGGGTTTGTTTCTGGCAAAGCATCTCCTCTGACTCTCTGTGCTCAGGCTGCAGTCACTGGGCTCCGGGGATTTCTCTGATCAGTGCTTCTTTAGCTGATGAAAAAGAAATACTTGGCGGAACTCTTGAGAGCTGTTGTTCAATGTTTTACAGAACCAAAAGTTTCAGAAAAAAAGAAAATAGCGGAAAAAATAAAAGAAAAAGAAAAGCTACAGAAGAAGAAGCAAGAGGAGCTTAAAAAAAGGGTAACTCCTTATTTCTCCTGGGTCTCAAAATTACAGAGCAGGTTTGATTTTATTTTTTTTTTAAAATTTTTTTTGTTTGAGGTTGAACAAGACCTGTAAAGATCTTGACTCGTCCAATAAACTTAAGTCTTGTAGTTCATCACATCTGGGGGCTGATAGCTCTAATTTCTCTGTAATTTAACCCATTGTTGAAATAACGCTTGTCTCTGCTGCTTTTTTTATGCACCACTTTGATAATACTTGCAGTTGCGAAACTTAGAGCTACAGTGTCCCTTCCCACTGCCTGTAAGATGAGCGGTGTCACCAGCGTGGTGGTGGGCTGCTCCAGGGGACGGTGCTCAGCTCCGCGCGTCCCTGAGGCCTGCCGGCTGCGGTGCTGGAAAAAAACGTGATTTCTTGTGCCACCTCTGCTCAGGGTAAGAAGTGCAACGTCTGCCCTCTTTTTTTTTTTAATTCAGTTAGAGGCACCGGAGGAACAGAAAGAACTTACACCAGAAGAGCAGTTAGCAGACAAACTACGGCTAAAGAAATTACAAGAGGAGTCGGACCTTGAGTTAGCAAAAGAAACCTTTGGTAAGTGCTGCGCCCCACCGGGGGCAACCGTAGCGGGACAGAAGCACCGTGGCCTCCGAGTGGACCCACGTCCCCCGTGGCTGCCCCACACAGCCCCCCCCCGGGCAGCACGAGTGGGCTGTGGTACTGAGAATAAAGAGGAGTTGAAATTCAAACTGCCGGAGGCGTGTCCTGGTGCCGAGGGCCAATTGTAACAACCACAGAAACATCTTCAGACTTGAAGG